GCAGCAATTACCAAGTTGCCCAGTGGAATACGTATGTATCTGGCCTACTGCTAGTGAAATTGACAGAGATATGGATGTCTTCTTAGTACAATGGCATCTGGATGGCTCGTTAAGCTGTTCCATTTCAGGAACTAAGGAAAACAATGCTCTTCTAAGTCTATTTATCTTCCCCTCCAAGATACGTCCTACTTGGTTCTGGAAAGCAGCCCCCTTCCCACACTGACCGTTGTCAAGAAATACAGGTCAGTGGGTAATTTCTAGGCAGAATTTAAGAGAATTTGCTTACCCTGGATAGAAATGTGGCTAAGAAGGGGACAAAAAATAATGATCCTATCAAGGGGAAACAGATGCTGTGGTCATCAAACCAAGCTTGCCAGCCCTCTCCTCCTTTCCTTTTTAATTGCTCCATAAAGTTTATTAATTTGCCATTTCAAGCATTTACGTACCACTTCTTCCTATAACACATCTCAGAGTGATGAGTTGAATCTTAAAAATAATAAGAAGCAAGAAGATAAAATAACGAATCAACAATATACACATTGGAAATGGATGGGAGAATTCTTTAAAGCAAATTTTGTCTCTATTATTCATACAGGGACATGATGGTGACAGGGTGTTCCTCCAAAGATATGTTCTAAAACACGGATGTCCCAAGATTTTTCTCTCATGAAGACTTTTATCAGAGATTGGCTGACACAATGCATTCATGTCACAAATATTTTCATTACTAAGTGTAAATTTTTATGGAGAAAATCTATCTAGGTGTTCACTAAGAGTCAACGACTTGATGGCACATGATCAATCACAGTGTAAGTTTTGTTTGGAGGGAAGATCTACAGTGTGCCAGCCTCAAACAGCTTTTTAATGATGGCTTATTGAGAGATGTTCTCCTGAGGAGGCCACAGATGGAAGAGTTATATTGAGACAATAAGTATTCCTTATTTGTTAGATTTCTATCCCACCTTTCTCCAAGGGACTCGAGGCAATGTTCATAACACTCCCTCCTCCAATTTTTCCCAACAATGACAATCTTTTGAAGTAGGTTGGGTTGAGGGATTGCCCAAAGTCACACAGTGAACTTCCATGGCTCAGGATGAACTTGATCTTGAATCTCCCCAGGTTCCCTAACTCACTTGTGGCATAATTATTCCTGGCCATTAAACAATATCTGAAGAAAAAGCGAAGGTAGAGTTTTGTTTGCAAGCTTGGAAGAATTTATGGCATATAAATGACTAGTGGTGCACATTTTGATCAGTCATGATTGGGACCTGACAAGTCATCTAGGGATGAATCATTGACAAACACACACTTTTGGTTCAGCTAATTTTGAACTTCAGTTGCTTCTGAAACCTTCTAAAATGGCGTTCCCTAGACTGCATCGGTAAAACGCTGCAAATTTGCAAGAAGGGAACGCTACCTTCATTTTTCAGAAGTACAAATTGCTGAAAAGTAGGGCAGAAGTTTGCAGAGGAAGGAGAATACACAGCAACCCCAAACAAAAGCAAATGCAATAAAGAAATAAAATGCTGATGCAACACAGATCGTTTGGTAAGCATCTGTGCACCAGCCTCTCTTTCAAAAACTGATGATTGTACAGTATAGATCTCTTGGCCTGCACAGGTTTAGCTGCAGTGCCTTTTCCACTTATAAGCCTGGTTGCTGCATTTTATATTCTGTCAATGTTCTGCGCTGCAGCACTATAGGAAAAAAAAAAAACCCACTGAAATGTATGCGTCCTTTGTTTTTGCATCACAATGCTACATATATATGTATATATTTCAAACACACCAGGCTATGGGGCTACCATATCTGGGCTACAAAAACATTAATGGCCAATCAATGTCAGCCAAATGATTAAAAAAACACTCAGTATTTTAAAGCCATCACAGGTGGCTTTTTGTCTCCATTTTTAATCCCGGATAAAATAGCACTACCAGTTATAAGTGAGTGGCAGATATGGGTATGGGGAATGCCAGTTTTTGCTTAGACAACAGATGTAACTTCTTTTTCCATCTCAAAATCCTGGCAAAATTGTTCCTCTCCTTGGTTGCTTGTATTCCAGTTACAAAAACAACTCTGCAAATTTTAGAATGGCTGTCAAGTTTTGTTTGTTTCTCTTGGAGCTACGGTGATCTTTTAAACCTTTTTGGTATGGAGTAAGTGGTTGGAGCCTTAAAAATCATTACTAGTTGAGTTTAAGAACTTTTTTTTTTTTTTGAAAAAAGGTTTTAAAGAATCTGATTCTTTTGGACATACACACACAGAAATCACAGGTTATCTATATTAAATATATCTCAGTCTTTCCCTTCCCAGCTTCCCAGTCCCACCCCACCCCATGGTTGGGGGCTCCATCCACAACTTTGTTAGGGTTGGAGGAGAGAGGAGGATTTGCAGATGGAAATAGTTGGGAGAGCAAGGATAGAAGAAGGGAAAAGGGGACTGCATACCATATAACGTAAGCTATAATTGTACTTCAGTAAACCCTGGAGTTATCATGGGGACCTACATGTGCCTGTAAAACTACATGAAGAATGGGGAAGGCAGCAAGAGGTAAGAGAAAATGCTTGCATTAAACGCGAGTCTCATTTCTGTGCAATGACCAACCCTATGGCTCCAGCAGGCCCAACATCCTAGCAGCCCCCCGCCCCCCATTTTAACAGGCATTGCATGTGCAACTCGTATTATAAATGGGTGGTGATTCTATCACAGCCACCATGTTGACTTTTTTGACTCCTTTCCAGGAAACTCATTATTGCTGCTGTTAATTGGTTTCACTCTCAAATTGGCCTTTACTTCTGGTAGTTTTATCTGCAAAGCAATATTGCAACTTACTACCAATATTGATGTGATTTTAGATTCTTAGCTCCATGGCATTGTAGGGAAAATTAAATAGCCTGGCAGAACTTATCAAATCTGGCCTCTATTTTTTAAAGAAATCTCAATAACAATGGAGTCAGGAAATCGACAAAATGGAGGGTTCAAGAATTGCTGGGCTACAATTTAACTGCTACTATATAACAGATATATAAGACATTAATATATTATATATATCTATATCAGTCATGGAGTGACTCCATTTTATAAACCATAAAGAGACGTTCTGTAGTATTCTATACTATGGGAAACAGCCGAACCTGTTACTAAAAGGGGTTCAGAAGGTCAATGTATGAACAAAGTCATCAACTCAAATCCATTCAAGTGAAAATAGGGACCATGTGTGTGTGTGCGTGCCGTAAAACATGCAAAACAAATGGTAAATTAGTTTTAATTTATTTTAGATGATCAGAAGACAAATCAAACCTGAAGGTGACATCAGTTGAGACTGGTCATGTGTGAAGCAATCAACAGTCAGTCAGATTGAAGAGCCTTAATGTTAACAAATCAAAAGATTCTTTGGTGCCCAGAATAATCTTGCATAGTCTTTGAAAAGTTCTATTTTTGTTCTGTGCCCACTGGCAGAACCTCACCAACTGGGACTTGCTTTCTGAATTGAAATGTGGCTAAATGTTTTTGATGAAGTAGATGCCTTAATGAGATAAGCCGTGACATTTCATGTAATCCTGTAGAAGAGGGCTCAAAATAAATGATATGGAGAGGGCTTTTTCCCATAAAAAAGAAAGGAGGGTGGAGAGTAACAAGAGGTAGAGCTCCCTCACCTGAGAACAGCCTTGTGATTCTGGCAACACTGACAGGACTGTTCCATTTATTTACCAATGAATATTACAGCTGCTTTATATATAAATAATATACGTAGGAAGCCCGCTTTACCAAGTTGGCTCAAACAAGGGTTAAAAGTGTGTTGAGGCAGGGACATGCATGCGAACCCATGGACAGGTAATTAGGGCTCCACAGCAGTTTGGATTCAGTCCCAAGAAAGCAGAGGCACATACAGAACCAGCATGCAATCCCTTAAACCTTGCTGGGTCTTCCCCCAAGCTGCCATTCAACCTTGGAAAAAGATGTGGCTACTTTAATGAGTCGCCAGAAGGTGCTATGTTTGCACCCCGACACTCCAAAGTATCTTTCAGGAACTAAAGTAAAGTACTGGACAGCCCTACTGGGAATGTGACAAAGCTTTTTTTTCTCTTTTTGGTTTTAATGTTTTCTGTTTTTAATGTTTGTTTCTACTGTTTTGGCTGTGAGCTGCCCAGAGTTTGGTTTTAAGATGGGCAGCTATATAAATGTTTTAAATAACTAAATAAATGCTAAAGAGAGGCAGAGTTGTAACCATTTTAATCTGAATGTGTTTACAGGCCTATTCTTGATCTGGGGAACAGTAGGATTTGAGCATGCATTCTTGCTCTCAACGTGTTTTAACCTTTGTAATTTTGAACTGGCAGCCATTGCCAATAGCGTATGCTGTGCCACTAGAAGTTATTCATTTATTTGGCATGCAAAGTATTTAGCCTTCATGTTTATACCTTCTTCTCAACTACACCTCAAATTCCAGGGAGGATAATGACAGCTGGCAATTTGACGTAACGTTACCATGCCAGGGTCTACCCAGAGACAGAGAATGGTTAGCTGGGGTAACAAGACCAAACTTCAACGTCACATTGAATTACTGCTAAAATATGGAAGAAAAGAAAAGAAGCACCATTAAAAAAAAATAGTTTTTTGCTATTTTGACAAAAGCAAGGCATATGGGAATCTCTGAGATGCTTACCTGCACACAGTGCTTACGAAGATTTGGAGGTTTGCAACTGTCCCAATTCCTTTGAAAAAGATTTTAGATCAGGGTTTCTCAACCTTGGCAAGTAAGATGTGTGGACTTCAACTCCCAGAATTCCCCAGCCAGCATATGGGGAATTCATATACCAAGGTTGAGAAACCCTGTTTTAGATGATCAACTCAGCTCTCAAAATTTAAAATGGATTTATATGAATCCTACATGGAATGGAGGGCTTCTATAGTTTTGCTTAAAATAGGTCTAAATCTGTGATCTATGAGCCCTTTTGGGTAGGACAATCTCTTCCATAAATCCAAGTAAGCGAACACAATGGTGTATCCATTCATTTTAATGGGACGTCTGGTAGGAGAATGCCCTGAGGTCATTTACATCTGATTATTTTTCTATCAAAAAACATTCTAAGCTGGAAATAATTTTTAGTAATCTAATGTTGGATGTCTCCTTCTATGTTGCATTTTTCCATATCAGAATCAATATCTATGTTCAACATAGGTGAATCTTTCTGGTCTTTTCCTTTTCTTAGAGCCTTCAAACATTTATCAAGCCTTTTCAAGAACATATCTACATCTTCCTTCTTCATTCCAATGGCTGAAGCAGCATTGAGGTAGGAGCACTGGTACTTGTCTGTATGGGCCATAAAACCTTTGAAAGTATATCCACTCACGGTTTGCAGAATCCCAAGGGAAACCACCCTGCGAGCAAAGAAACTTGAGTCAAAATGCATTTCTAGCAGAACTTGATTTGGAATAAGTTAGGTTTCAGTCCTAGGAATGAAAGGAAATGAAATCCACTAAGAGTGTTATCTTCTGTGGATCTGCACCAAAGTAAGCTCCTTTAAAATCAGTAGGACTTACTTCTGAGTAAAAAATGCAGTAGTTAAGCTGTGTATGCTCTGTTTGACAGATTCTGCATGTCTTCGAGATCAGTTCAGAGAATAAGTTCTCTGATAACCTGAACTGTGGATTGGATATTTTTATTTATTTATTTATAGACTATTTAAAACCTGCCTACTATCCTGTAACTTGTCTCCAGGCCAATTACAATCCACCATGCACGTGGCATGAGACAATCAAATGCCGTACAAATAAATATTATAAAAGATTAAAATAGTAAAAGTTAAGATCTCAAGGACCACAATAACTGAGAGGCTCAGATTTTCACAAGGGACCCCAGGGCACAACCAGGCTATGAAACGAGATATTCCTGAATTGAAATGTTAATAAACGGACCGACCTTGCTCCAGAAACTTGTCTGGTGAAAAGCATTGATCCAAGCTGTGTAACAGCTTCAGGGTTTTGTTCATCTAGCTCTTTGAGTGACATTGCTGAAAATACAAATAGCTGGGTTAGTGTCATATGTAACAATAGCTGTATGCATTTCTCCTCTTGAATCTCAGGTGCTCTGCAGCCCTGGAGAACATCATTTAGAATGGCAAGTAGGAAAAATGGGTATAAGAAATTATTTTTCATTTTGCACAAAAAGGCAAGCACAATAGATTTTTTTTTAAGATCCAATATTTCAGGCCTCAGCACATTGTGGCCACAGCAGATATAATTCTGCCATTGTCTCAACCCATAATTAAGAGATCAAGAGTCAGCAGCAAAGCTGTACATTTTTTTTTCTTTTCTTCCTTCCAGACCCAATGAAATTCCACTCACTCTCTTGACATGGTTCAGTATTACATAGGCATCAATTTAAATATGCATATTCACCAAAGCCTCGGAATCAGAATTAGGTGCTCACAAGAAGACTGCAAAAAATGTTGAGGGTGAAACATTCCGATCTCAAAACTAATCTTTTCAAGGCTATCGGAAGTGATCCCATCTCAAACAAGGGATGTTTTGAACATCCCCAATACTCCTTGCCAATACTTACATAGCATTGTCATCTTCCACAACACAACAAATGTAGTTAACAACCAAAGAGCAACAAACATAGGAGACTATGTTCTTGGTGGAGAGATAATTTAGCACAGATCTGCATATTTAGATCTGCATATTTATAACCAGCAGTAACTCTGATTCCTTCAAAAATAAGTTGAAATTTAACAATGACTGCATTTTCTGAAAGAATAAACGTGATGAATTAAAAATGCTAAACATCCCACACCCTCCAGAGCAGACTGTTCATGAAAAAGATAGTTAGCACCAAATTTGATTATGAATTAAAATCTTACATCAGTTACCTTTTTAATCCTTGTAACACTGCAAAATAACCTAGAAGAGTTTTGCATCAATGTTGCAGCTATTTTAATATAGGGAACCTGGGGGAATCAGGTTGATTACACCTCAGTTTTTCAAACACAATTTTACAAAAGACAACATTTCAAAAGCTCACTTTATTTACGATTCTTGGCAGGTCATGCAAAATGGCAAGCCCCATGTGGTTCTCTGATAGAAGATGCCTGTGTAGTCCTTAATCTTAAAATATTTTAATTCCAGCTTTCTATGTGCAAACAGCCAAAGCAGCTAACAAATAAAATGTACAAATTAAAGTAATAAAACAAACACCTGAATCTGAAATGTAAAATGAGCAAAAAAGATAAAAACAGGAAACAAAAGTTACATCAAGGATCCAAATAACTCTAAATCTCCTCCCTAAATGCCTTTGGAAAGACAAATACTTTATGCAAAAACCTATGTATTTCATCTCAAGGATGAGGAATCACAAAGCAGGATCCCACCCGAGTGAACACACACACTTATAACGGAAAAGAGAATTCACCAGAGATCTTGATGGCAACCATTTAACCCTTCAAAGATCACAAACAACCACTTTGAGACAGACTGACAATGGAGAGCCATGTGTCAGGGCCACATTTCATGCCACGAGCTGGGCCTTACACTCTTCCAAGCGAACTCTTCATGAGCAGCCTTACTGATGCTAAGGAGGCCCACAGGGCAGCCTGAGTTAGCAATCAGCAGGCAGATAAATGAATGGCCGATCCCTCAGGCTGTTGATGATTTGGGACTTGGCTGTGCTCACAACTGCACTTGAAAAGAGCGGGCAAATGGCATCCATAGTGGCATACCAGGATGCAGTGCAAAGAGAACCGCTGTGATAATTAGGCTTGAATGAAACTACCAGGACACACAGTTTCTCCTATATAACAGCAGATACGCAGTGGCTGAAAGTCATTCTGCCTTGAATCTGACATATAATGCACCATATACGGTTCCAGGAGGGGAATCAGCAGCTCTTTTATGCATTTACAACCATTCCATGATGCCAACCTTACCTAGAGAGATAGGATTGTGAGGTGTATCCAACAATCTTTCATTGTAGCTTTCTGCTAATTTTTTCACCTCGTTTGAAAGGTAGGAAAACATTTCCTAGAGAAAAACAGAAGGGAAAACAACCTGTTTTGAGTCTTGCTAGTCTCTGGAAAAAGCTTCAAATCTTAAGAGCTGCATGTCTCCGCCTGCTTTGACTCTTGGGCACCACTCTACACCCATCTTAAAGTATCTGCCATGGGTGTGACTACAAAATGGTTGCTGTGGCAACAGGGCTAAGCATAAAATGTTGGGAGTGCTTCTCCTGTTTTCGTATGAGTTTGTTCACAGATAAGAGAGGGGGAAGAAAGATGGGAAGATGGGAAAGAGAAAAACAGATTGACAAATGGAGAAAGACAGAGTGGAGACTGAAGAGATCAAGACCAGCAAGTAGACAGGGAAGGACAGAATAGTCCCTCCCCTCCCCCAAGTAGGAACATGATTTCTATCTCAATTCAAACAAATGGGTGAAATAGCTCCATTCACCTGAAAAAGGAGAGAACCCTGGAAAATTTCTGAAGAGTGATGAAGTCAATGAAGTTGTTGCCCTAAGAATTTGGCCAATTTTTGGCTGAACAGAGATCTTCCCCAAAGATAGCCACTTGGCAGATTCTTTCCTCCCCCTTCTCCCTCCCAGGTATAAATCTGGATGAAATGAAGAAAAAGCATACTCTTAGCTCATGCCAAGGAATAATATACATCTTGGACAGATACATTCCAATGGCTGAGCACAAGGATCACACTGAGATTTTGAGAACATGTTGGGGGTCTTCTTGCAAAATGGCTGATGGGTGTGGTTTGGCCATGTATAAAACAACTGCCATGGGGGACCCAGAACGTGGATTTCTACTTGCCACAATCTTGAACCCTCTTCCTATTTGCCAGATGCTCCATTTTATCCTATTTATCTCTGTCCATTTTATTGCCATACAGGCACTTTTACAGTTGCAGCCACCATCATTTCTATTTTTTGAGAACACGTATGGGCCCAGATGAAATCCAGAAGCATCCTTAGAAATCTAGATGATGTTGGAATTGGTTCCGTTTTCTAAAAATTGGTTTTAATGTAAAAAGCCAGTTTGGAAGGGACCAAGGGAGATTTCCATAGCCCCACTGATGTCCATCTAGGTATGCATCAGGGAAACAGCGCTCCAACTTTTCTCAACAAAGTAAAACAAGGGAAAAATGAAACAAACAGCTCTTACTCATTAGAGGATCTACATTTAAGACTTCTTTTCACTGTAATGAGCTCCTAGATCTTACAAACAGCTAGCTAAGCAATTTGCTGTACAATAAATTAATAGTCCTTTATACCGAGTACTATTTTGTCAAGAATTTATGATGACGCCAAGCACAAGTCTTACTTTAAAAATGTAACTGAATTCTATTGATTTTTCTACATTGCCTATCCTATATTTAACCCAGACACAAAAGAATATTATCATGCTGGAGAAATATTAAACAAGTTATGCACTAAAATGTCAGCTAAATTTCTAGTGGAGAAAGTTGGTAAAAAACAAAACAGTGAAGCAGTAAATTAAGCAAGTCCAAGTAGCAAGTTTGAACAAAAAAGCAAGCCATATTTCTTTTAGCCTTCAACACTTGAGTTTTAACTATTAGAATGGAGTGGATTTGAACCACTGTGCAACCAGGAGATTTTAAATTGCATTTTTTCTATTGAGCAAAAAAAGGAATAGATTATGATCTCACATTAATGGAATAACCACATGTAAGAAGACTTCTCAAGTCAGTGGCTGTGGACAAACTGGCTGTCAGGACAGAATCTGAAGCTAGTCAAATGAAACACTAAATTATGGATTGGTGTTTTATAAACAGACTAAGAAGTTAGGAAGCCTGGCTAACAACTTAAAAATAGTAACGGCGATCCAAGCAGAGCGTTCAGCTGCTCTGTCCAAGCACAGAAACATCTCGGTTCCCCTTGCAAGTCATTATCCACATTATCCAAAAGACCATCAGGTTGTGATTGATCCAGACTGGTGGCCAGCAAGATGCTGGAGCTGCAATATAATAAATGCCTGGGACTTCTAACTGTGCTTCCAACAAATATGAAATACCTTAGGCATTCAAGAAGACCAAGCTTCAAATCAGAACTGTGCTGGAAGAAGCACCGTATAGTCTGGGGGCTTCCATAGAGAAGGGCCCTTGTATTAACAATCTAATGCCACTGTTCAGATTTTTCCTTTTTACAGTAAGGAAAACGAAAACACAGAACACGGTATCTTCTAGGCTGCCTATGAAATTGTGTATCTATTTGAAACAGGAAGATTGAATAGGAAAAGCTTTTTTGAAAGTACTCTTATTTCAGAACGGTATTCTAAAATAACTACCAAGATAAAGCGTGTTTCCATAGAAAGGTTGTTGGATTTGGAAGAGGAAAAACTGCATTTTGGTCCCTGTTCAGCAATAAAGATGAATAAAAGAATTTAGGAGAAAGGAAGGGAGAAAGGAAGGGCGAGCACACTAGAAATAGGGAAAAAGATGGTTTGTTGCATCTTACCTGCTCAACAGGTATATTTTCAAGCAAAAGAGATGTTAGAAAAGACCAGCTTTAAGAGGCTGCCATGAAACTGTTCAGAGATGTGGAGCGCATTAATAAAATGCTCATTTGTACCACGTGGAAGGAGAAATCTGCAGAACTGTCTACTTCTGCTGCGGAGATTAACCTCTCCTCTGCAGAAGGCTACCTAGGTTTTCATTCACTGGTGCTCAGATGATCTGCAATGTATTATTGATCTGGGGATTAAGGAAGGAAAAGGAAAACACTGCCTTATTGAAAAAATAGACTCCCCCCCGCCCCAAGTAGGCATAGTGGAACCAATACAGGAAAGTGTACTTGGAGTCAAACTATAAATAGCTCTTCCTGAGAACATAATAGCTGTGACCTAGCTTTCACAGAGCATACGGTATAAACCATGGCTATTAAATTTTATCATTCAGGAACATGTCAAAATACATCCCCAAAAGGAAGGTGGAAGTATTAAGCCTTATTTCTTCCACATATTTAACAGCAATAGATTTACAACATTTTGAGAAGTGGGTTTACACAGCAAAACTACACTTTAGATGAACAAACTAATTGTTGGACTGAAATGGTGAAATAGCTAAGGCTTTGTCCTGAGTGCTGTATGGTCTTGAAGTTTTATTATCTACCCACCAATTGCCAATTTATAGTTCCCAGCGATCTTTAATATTCTCCAGTGTTTGTTTATTGCCAACGTAAATACCCTAATTGAGAGAGCCAGTTTGGTGTAGTGGTTAAGGCACCAGGCTAGAAACTGGGAGACTGGGAGTTCTAGTCCTGCCTTAGGCAT